GATTGGGTGCTATTAGATGAACTTAATCTTACATCACAATCCGTATTGGAGGGTCTCAATTCTTGTTTAGACCATCGTGAATCGATATACGTTCCAGAACTGGACAAGGAGTTCTTTTGTGCTCAAGGATTCCGCGTTTTTGGTGCACAAAATCCTATGTATCAAGGTGGTGGTAGAAAAGGCCTCCCTAGATCATTTATTAATCGATTCACACAAGTTTATATTGAACAACTCACAAATAATGACTTACTCTTTATATGTAAAAGCTTATTTCCGCGAATAAAAGACATCATCTTGAAAAAAATAATAGAGTTTAATACTCGAATAAATGAAGATATAATGATTAAATGTTTATATGGCCGAAGTGGTGCCCCATGGGAATTCAACTTACGAGATGTATTACGTTGGCTTGAATTACTTAGTAAAGATTATAGCCTTGGCTTTTATTCTTCTCCTGCGGAATATTTAGATCTCATCTATCTTCAGAGGATGAGAAATGAACAAGATAGAGATTGTATTATTTCAGTGTTCAATGAAATTTTTGGCCTGAATTATCAGCAACAAAAACATCCATATTACCATATTGATCCTAAATTTATTCAAGTAGGACATTCACTTCTGGATCGTAAAGATTCTTATATAAGTCATTCTTTGACGAATAAGCTGCATGTTTTACAATCTCAACTACATCCATTGCAATCACTGATGAAATGTGTTGAAATGAATTGGATGGTCATATTAACCGGTCCTGAAGCGTCTGGAAAAACTAATTTAGTAAGGTTACTTTCAAACCTTACTGGGAATCCACTTGAAGAATTCATGATGAATAATTCTGTAGATACTATCGAATTATTAGGAGGATTTGAACAATTTGACTTATCTAGACATCGTCAAATAGTAATTAATGATCTATTAAATTTGACTAATGAGGTTACTAAAGCTATACTTCTGATAACACATATTCCATTATCGAATTCTGATTATCAACCTGATAAGGTTGTGCAAACCTTGATGCAGCTTAATCATGTATTATTTACCTTAAAAAATTATTTCAAATTTAATATGCGGTTGGATTATTCAATAGTTGATTCTTTATTGTCAATACTTGAACAAACCATTTCAAGTTATGGTTTGGCTTTAACAGTTCAATGGAATGCAATCTTTGATAAAGTTTCTAGCCTAAAGATTAAGGAAAATGAGCCCGTTTCGGGTCTTTTTGAATGGGTTGATGGCATAATCATTAAAGCATTGCAAAATGGTCATTGGTTACTAATTGATAATGCTAATCTCTGCAATCCGTCTGTCCTTGATAGACTTAATTCTTTACTTGAACCAAATGGTGTCTTAATGGTAAATGAGCATAGTATGATTGATGGCGAAATCAGGATGATTCGCCCTCACAAAAATTTTAGGCTTTTCATGACCCTTAATCCAAAAAATGGAGAATTGTCACGCGCAATGCGAAACCGTGGTGTAGAAATTGCATTATTAAATACTGAATTGATTGAAAATCGGCAAGATATGACAAAGCTTGCCAATAGTTACGGGCTTTGGCACCCTTATTTTCCTGTTGCTATGGAAAATTTTATAAGCGAAATTAATCTTATATCATCGTCTAATAAATTTCAACCAACTCTAAGATGGTATATCATGATTGTGAAAATGGTAAATGAAAGAATTCAGCGTGGTGATAACTTCTTGCAAGCTTTAATTTTATCGTTGCAACAAGCTTGTTATTGCATTGACAATTATAACTTTGAGGTATATTTCCAAGATCTTATGAAAGCTTACGAATTCGATAAGATTAATCCTTCATCCAACGGGTTATTACATTCTAATTGTCCACTTATTGTTGATGGTGACTTATACAAGAATGAGTCAATGTTAGCCAATGTTTGTTTGCAAGCTTCTTATTTCTTACATATCGTGCTCAAATGTGGGCATGTTTCGAAATCACACATATCAAATTCATTACTTGTGGCTAGTGAATGTTTTATTGAGATGACTTCTTTAGAAGATTTTCCTATACGACAATATTGGATTAATTTTATTTCCTCTGCGATACAATCTTCGTATTTGTTAGTCAGTAACAAGCAAAATTCTTTGGATTATGCTCAATTTCTGCTAAATAAAATTATAAATCACTCACTTGCTATTCAACTTGCTGATATTAAAAGCCGAATAGCTTGTGAAATCGGTTTCGATGTGTCCTATATGTCATATCAGGTTCGTGTAATTATGTTTTTTTTTGTTTCATTCTAACGTTGTGAAATACTAATTTACTATTTTTTTTTTTTTTTGAATCATTAGCCTCTCGATATTACAAGAAATATTCCTTTAATTAATTCACTTGATGTATACACATCCAACCTTTGTGACAACTTGAAAACTGGTCCAGTTTATATGTTGTGGAAAGAATATTCTTCAAAGATTAAAGCATTTTCTTTGTTAAAACACATTCTGAGGGATGAATATGTTGAAAATATGGCTTGTGAACAAGCCATGCAGCAAAAAGTCTCAAATATGACTTTGGCTCAACAGTCATACTGTTATAATCAGGGTAGAATTTCTGAGAGCCAGCTAAGTAATAAAATTATTGGGATTATATATCCCTTTTTGGAAAGGTCAAGACAATGTATCCTTTCTTGTATCAATAAAGAGTTAAATGTTGATGAGGTATGTTTGCAGTTTATTTTGATGCCTGTTACCTTTTTGCTAAATGTGAATGTAAAATAATGGAGAATTCATTATCGGTTACTCTAGTCGTCTTTGTTATTTGATTTTATAACTCAACGAAGATTTTTATGGGAACGTTTACAGCAGTCATCTCTTGACATTGGAGAGCTGTTTACATGCACCAAAATGCTTGATGAAATAACAGTTTTGTTATATGATAAACACCAAGAAATTATGTGTCCTCTACGTGATATTTTGAGTACCATGGCCGAAGCCACAGCTTTGACAACCGGATTATTTATGGACATATTATGGAAACATTTTCATCATATATCTCTTAGAAATATGGATCTTTTTCTACTTGAACAAGAATTATATTCAACTCAAAATGAATTGAATAAATATGATACAAATCAAGATGGTAAGCATTATTTATATTTTCTATATTCAGATCCCAAGTTAATTTATCTTACCTTTGATTTTAACTTAAATTTTATTCAGGTGAAGATAGCATAAAAATGATGCTTATTGATGCTGCCGCCACATTATACTTCCTTGACGAAAACACAGATGCTGACTCTAATAAATTATTTGATTCAATAAAGAAGATTCCTGAGGTATTTGATGAATCATAGAGCTATGTCTTCTACTCCAAGACCTCACATAACTTCTTGCATCTTAGCACATTCGAACAAAGCTTAATACTTCTCATTTAAAGAGTATTGATTGCGATGTTAGACTTTTCTTGCAAGATCCTAACGAGCCATTCAATTGCATAATGGACTATTGGAGCGTTATTTACGAGATGCAAATTATCAGTCAACTTCAATTTATTGCTGCGCAAGAATTTAAATCTACAGATGTTTGTGTTTTCCAAATTTCCAAATTGCTTTCGATTATATTCTCTGCAATTCATTTAATACAATTATTACATTCGTGCACAATGTTTTAGGTTGAATATAGCACAATCCTTTACCAAATATCTGAATTTCGTGATTGGATGCTGATAAATTCAACAAGAAAACCGCTAGACTTTATTCCACATCAACGAATTCTGTGGATATACGAAAATGACGTCAATGGTTTGACATAATTTCGAATTAAATCCTGCTTTATGTTCATTTAATAAATACTTAAACGCTTATTGGCCTTTTGTTTGGTTTAGTTCCCAAGGATAAAGCTAAATTCCAATTGAACAATATTATTCAGGATATGTTATATGGATGGCACAATAAATTATGGAATAACAGCTTTAACAATGTTATTATAGGCAATGATATGACCAACTCAAAATTTTCAAAGGCAAGTCTTATGCTTTTTAGGCCTCATGAATTAAGTGTAGTTTGGTTACTAATCATTCTTCTATTTTTATATTATAGCATACTGAAGGCTCTGCTAGGTTATTTCAAAGCGTTTTTAGCGAATATTATTTTAAATTCACGTAAGAAATTTATTAATTTTTACATAATCATATTTCATGCACTTAAATTTTGATTTTTTTTTTTTAATTTAGTTGTAAGATACAATCTGTATCTATCGGTTCATTCAATTCTGCATTAACTTGTCTTGAAAATTTTGAAAAACAAATGGGAAATAAATTATTCATTAAAATAAATAGAATGAGTTCTGATATTGCATGTCTTATGCAGCACCTTAAGCAGGTTAGTAATCTTGATAAATGAAATAATTTCACGTCAAATATACTAATTTTATTATTTCGCTTATTAATTACACGATAGATTTTCCTTCCATTTGGCCATTTTTTTTCGTCAGAGTCTTGGAGTGAAATATGTCGCAACTTTGAACTTATTCTTAATGCAACTAGATGTTCCCCGGTTCTCCAGGCGAATGACATTATTTTTAATTCACTTTTTGCTCTGGCTGATGCGTTGAAGACAACACAAGATTCGTTTCTTCGTCTTGCATTAGATCAATGGTTTATTCCAGCAGTTAATTCCATTTCAACCATTTTCCAAAAAGAGTATACATATTATGAGTTGTTGGTAAAAATCGGACGCGCGTGGGTCTTCCTCGCATTAGGTTTTATTACATTATATGTTCCAAATTATCCTTTTGATCCGACGGTGAAAGCTTCTTTTATATGTAAACAACTGCAATTTAAGCAATCCCAATTGGAAGTTGAAATCAATGTCCGTGCTGACGTTGAACAGTATATAACCGGCGAGTCTACAAATAATACTATTAAGAATTTGAAGCAAAATTTAAACGAAGTTAGATCACTTTTGAAGCGTAAATCCGTCGAGTTGGCATTGCGTCCAGAAGTTTCTCAAATTAACGAACTCTTCAGACATGTACATTACATTTGTAATAATGTTATAGATGTAACACATGTTTTAACACTTCTTGACGATCTGGAAAAAGGAAGCGATTTATCCGTTCTTGAGCGTGAAATTTTATTACAAGAGAAAACTTTGCAATTTATTCAACGAATAAATCAAAATTACCCACTCTATCATGATTTACTTCAGCCAATTTGTATTTCTATCTTTCAATTAAAACATGGCGTTAGGCTGGTTGCTTCATCTTCCAAAAGTCTGAGCCTTTCACACGACTTTACAATATTTAATGTACTGAAATGTCTTTTATCAATTACCAAGTTGGGGTATCCATTAGAGTGTATCGAGTTACTTGCTGCACCTGAATCCTTGAAACAAATTAAAAAAATGATTTTTTCGGCAGAATCTGTTATTGATCGATGGGATAAGTATTTGGAATATATGGTCGTCATTCTTCGATGTTTGTATTGTCACATATCAAAGCGTGGTCGCATAATCTCTAAAGATTTAGAGTTTATCCAAAGAATATTTGGAGAGATAGCAGAAATATACGTTGCGGCTGAAGATCAAAAAAATAAAATTGCTTATGAAAATGAATGTTTATATAAAAATAAAACTAAAGTGCATTCTAGTATTACTGACGAACAATATGCTGAAATGGAGTTCAGACAAATGTTTCCGGATTTTAGTCAGGATTTTGATGATACAAAAGATGATAATATGACGGATGATTCACAATCAAAGTTGTCAGAAGTAGTAATTGTTAAAGATGAAATTATTGTAAAAATATGCACGCTATATAAAATTTTTGTCAGTGATTTTAATTTATACCGCACGAAAGGTTTCAAGTGTTGTTCAAAAGTAATTCAGCAGACATTCTGGGCATCTTTTAGCATGGCACGGGATCTTGCTGCACTTGATAGCAGATTATATCCCGAAGAACTTGATGATGCATTTGCAACATGTAAATTATTAGGCACATCGATATTAAAAAATTGGCTTATAGGAGAGGATGAAGTCATAAATACATCTAATTCAATTAATCCAGCTCTAGAAATGTATGACTTTTACAAAGATCATAACATCTTTGAGGCAAAAAAATTAATTCCTGTGATCACAAATTTACTGCAACGCATTATGGAATTGATTACAATATGGCCTGAACACGCAGTACTTCACCAAATTAATAACATTTGCGAGAGGATTAAAGGATTCAATTTAAATTCACCTATTGCAAAACTCCTTACAGGGTTAGAAATTTTATTACAAAAAACAGATGATTGGGAAGCGTATGCTGGTAGAGATACATCAATTAAGTCACATCAGAAAGAGATTATTGAGCTTATTATTCAATGGAGACAACTTGAATTGAATTGTTGGCCAAAGTTATTGGCAGTGCAAGATAAATATTATGAATTATCCGCATCTAAATGGTGGTTCCACCTTTTTAATTGTATAATTCTACCCATACATGATCTTAGTAAACAATCATATGTTTACGATAAAACAACTGCAATCTTCCAACAGCACATAAATGGAATTGTTTGCACTCTTGATCAATTCTTACAATCGTCAAAATATGGTGACTATAAATCTCGGCTCGAATTGATTCGTTCATTCTACGAACACCTTTGTACACTTGATCATTTTTCAAAATTTAACTTACAGGATAATTCAAGTGAGGAAATATATAAGTCACTTTATAAGCAAGCGGCTGATGTTCTTTGGAATATCTACAAATATTATTCTCAGTTTCTTTGTGAACTTGACAATGCATTAATTAACATGCGCAAACCTATAGAAAAAGACCTTTATCAATTCGTAAAGATTGCTAGTTGGAAAGACATAAATATTTATGCTTTAAAGCAGAGTGCTCAGAAAACTCATCGACATTTATCTAAATGTATTCGAAAATATCGAGACGTGCTCGATAAGCCTGTCACAGATCTTATAGCATCTTGTCAAATGGATTCCTCCAAGAGCCAGTTAGGATGTAACAGTTCCAATGCTACTGAGTATTCTGCATCCGATTTCCCGGAAAATTGGTTTTCGAATACTAATCCTATTGATCCTCCCGCAACGACATTAGAACTACAAATAGCATTGAGCAAAGAAGTATTACCTGCTCCTGACCGATTCATTAACATAGCAAATCCTCTGCAAAACCTAATCCTTTTTGCACTTCTTGAAATGAAAGATCCTTAGAATGAGTAGTAGCTATTTGTCGAAGGTGTGTCATTTGTGCAATAATCCTATAATAATAATCATCAGCCTTTTGTAAAATTGGTATGAAAATATGCATAGTTGTTGGAGGTTTCGAAGTGTGCTTGTCTTTATGGAGCAAAGAATCTACTGTTTCATATAATGATCTAGTAATTTGAATCCTGGGGAGCTGAAAA